ATTCACTGCTATTTCTATTGCATCGGCTAGTTTTGACTGGCCTACTGTGAGTCTATGGAGTCTTAGAAGACTCATTTGATCTTTAGAAAATGATTTGCTGAATGTGGTCCAGGTATCTCTCACATCAGCCCTAAGTTTATATAAACATATGCCCATTTGTATTACTTCAGAATAGAAGACACTGAAGCAGTAGAGTCTGACAAAGCACACAAAATGGTTTTCTTTTTTAAGATCAAACATATTTTGTATCAATTTCCATATGTATAAGAATATATGTATATACATATTATATGTATATAAATAATACAATGTAGGGAAGCAGAGAGAAGCTAGATTTTAAAATCTACTTGTTTTTCTCTTCCACACATCATGCTTTTAGGTTTTAGATAATCTGTGTTCAAGGAGTGTAAATTTGCTTAAGAATCCATTAAAGTAGAAAGTGATTTGACAAGTAATTTTTTTTTCTGGTAAAATTATACAGATATGCCCATACATGCACACACAAACAAACATACACACAGAGACACATATACAGATGGACTCAAAAGTAAAATATCTACTTAGATGTGTGTATGTCTGTATATACAACCAGACATACACAGATATATAAACACACATAATCTATATTATTTTTATGATGTAACTTCTATCAACACAGATAACTGTGGAACTATAATTTGTATGTGTATTTCCAGACACACAAAAAAAGGTATAATCCCTACATGCTTCATTGTTTAAAAAAAATATTTATGTCTTAAAAGATGTTTGTGGATGTCTTTGAGGACAGCATCTCTGGTTGATTTGTGGTTGGCTTACATTTTTAATTTAATCTATTGTCCATAGGCTACTATGTAAATCCCATAATTCAAATGTGTAGATCATACAGAATTTAAAGATGAATTAATAGTATGGCTCTTTGGGTCTTGGAAAACACTATTAAGACAACATTCTAAACATTTAAGGGGAAGAATCTTAAAGTCACACCATAGTTTCTTTTTTAATATTTTTCAAAAAGTAACTGACTTCACAAACACCAACTATAACATGATTTAGACAACTGAGAAACAGGCAAGTGTACTTTTAAATGCTAAAAGAAAATACATTTATACAAGTACAAAGCAAAACAATGCAGATAAAAATGTTAAACTTTATGAAAAAAATCATTTGCAATTCACATCAAAATAATTTAACATTCTCTATTGTTTTAATAGTACAAGCTGCAACAACAGAAAAAGAACAGATACACGCACACAATTTTAAAACCAAATCAGTTAAAGTGCAGAAAAAAGTAAGTACAAGCCCACACAAATCTTTTAGGATTGGCACCATCTTTCTAAAACATCTATATTCTATATAGATTTCTAATTACAACACCACCAGCAGCTGCCATTGAATTCTAGAAATACACACAATATACATAGTATATTTGTTCACATTGGGAAGATCAGTGAAATTCAGCCAACTATTTTATACATGCCTCATTCTTCAACAGATAGTAGAGAATCTCCCAGGCCTCAGACCCTCTTGAGAGTGAATTTCAATTTATCTTTATGCTTTTCACTGATCTGTACTTTTTCACAGTATAAAATCGTAAATGGTTAACTACAGAGATTCTGCCAGCTCAAGGGTTATTAAGAAGCTGTGGCTAAATGTGAACTCAGATAATACTTTTGAAGTCTCCAAAACACGTACATTTTGCTGGGAGACTAGCATAGGAAATGTTTTTTGTTTGTTTTTTTTTTGTTTTTGTTTTTTTCTTAAAAAGTGTTAAATTCCTGGTTTGGAAGTCACAGAACTGCAGCAGAGCCATTATAACAACTCATTCACAGTCAGAAATAGCTCCTAGTCTTCCTGATCACTTGCTGGGAACAGCAGAAGCTTGGGAAAGACTTTTACTAACAAGGATTTGCACATTTGGGGATTTACTGTTTTTCTTTGCTTCAGTCAAATCTCATATGATTTTCCTTTGCGTACTCCCTCTCTGGTACCCACCCCTCACACAGAAAGATGCTTCTTCCCAATCCACATAGGGTCTTCTCTGCCCCTACTCCTCTCCCAAAACAGAAGAGTGAGTGGACTGCTTAGATGGTCCGTATAACTTGATCAAACCAGGTCTTCTTTTTTTCATCCTGGGACCAAACTGTCCTGTAGGGTCACTTTTCTGAATGTCAGCATTTCACTGTACTTTCCCCTTCCTTTTGGTCATGCTGGTCCAACTGAATTATCACTGGGCACCAGGAACAGACTGTTTTCAAGGAAATTCAATGAAAATAGGTACCCAAATGAATTGTGAAGTTCATATCCTAGCCCTAGAATGAATATTCAGTTCTCCTTGTAGATTTATCACTTGGAACCTGGTATTAGAATTGGCAAAGACACAGAGTTAGCATCATTCCAAAATAAAAGATCCCAAGAATGCATTACAAATAATATTATGTATCATACAATGTACTGAATGAAGTGGCAAAGGGTGCAGAAACACAGAGAAAAATACATCTTGTTCTCCTCTAATTGGATAAATTATTTTTCTTATTATAGTTTATCATAATTTCATATAGAATTACCAGATGGCAATTTGTTTGCATTAAATTTTAATTTCTGATGAATTTTCTCGTAAGGTAGTGTACTTTTTAACGAAATATGTTACTAAAAATTTAGAAGAGGAATTTGATCATGGAGAAAGTTTTTAAAAATATTTTTCTATCAGTCAATACAGAATAAAATGGAAATCAACCTAAGGGTTTAAGAAACAAATTTAAAACTTAGTAGAGTATATTTGGAAAGGTTTCAATGTTTAAGAAATCAAGATGGTAATCCCCAGGTGAATGCCACCCTTTTCAAGAGGATTGAGGGGTGTTAATTCTTCAAAATACTTACATTTGTTTTTCAAGTAGAGGCAGATATTCACTTTCAATGAAACCATAAAGCTTAGCTAAATTCACTGTTTCATGAGTCTCATAATATGTGGGTTTCAGGGTGCTCTGATGACGTTATTTTCAAATCTGGCATGGGAGGTTTGATTTTTGAAAATTTATATTTTACTAAATTAATGTGTGCTTTTAATATTTTATACTGGGAGATTTGATTTAAAAATTTAAGAACAGATATCAGAAAGTCAAGCAGTATAATGTATTATAACTTTTAAAACTGGGGAATGATAAATTATGCCAATGGATATATTTCCATTTCTCAATTCCTTTTTTAAAGTAGATGTAAAATAAAAAATACATGCCAAAATAAGGATATTGAGCTAAAGAAAAAGGTTTCATTTACTTTTCTTTCTGCTAAAAATATACTTCTGCCTCACAGCAAATCTTTTTCATAAGGCTATCTTTAGTATAAGGCTAGATCAACTAAACTCTTAATTTATAGGACACCTCCTCCTTTTATTACTATGCTTATTTTTAAAAATTAAAAATGAAACCAAAACCAAACCAAACCAACCAACCAAACAAACAAACAAAAAAACATTTGGCACCTGAAGATAGCTGTAATGGGAGGAAGAAAGAGATGACAGTGGATGCAGGCCTTGAGCTATAAAGCACATGTATTTCCATTATATCTTTAAATCTCTTTTCTGCAGTATTTAAAAAGTGACAGTATGAAGTGCACAAAAATCATATTAAGAATTATTTTAAAAAGGAAATACTAATAATTGCTTTGCCTCTTTTTGGAATGGCTAAGAAAGACTGTGTGGTTTATATTCATTAAGGTTCCTCTGTTTTAGTATTCTGTATTGCTTTGAAAAATCTACATTTGTCATAGTTCATAGCTGCCCTATTAAGCAGCCAAGAAAAGTTAAAATCACTGCTCACTGGCATAGCTAAATCTCTGCTAAGCCGACTTGACACAGTTTAAAATTTCCAGTGTATTAAGATTGTGTTAACTTTTTGAATAACAGTCCCTTCAATCATGACGCTGTCTTCAGTGGGTCTATAGACCATTCTTCCAGTGGTGGGACTTGAAAAGAACAGAGGAGCTCTTTGTGCATCAGGTTCTCAAAGGAAAGGAATGAAGAAGCCCAAATGGGTATTTTAATATTTTAGCTGGCAATGCTAATGGAACAGCATTCATAAGGAGGAGTGGCCACATTTCATGAAAGAGATAGCCAAGCTGGAGCTCAGGAATTATTATTATTATTATAAATTGAATTTCCAGCTACACAACATACCCCCCAGTGAGGGAATTACAAAACAGTATTCCAGAAAATATTTTTTTGCTACTCCAGTATTGATTGGCAACATGGTGAAATAGTCAAGAAATCTTCCACTGGTTTTCTTGGTTAATGGAGGTGAATTGAAATAACTAGGTGGACTCCCGGATGCAGGCTTCTGGAAGAGGATTTCAAACCAAATCGGAGAGGAATGTCTCTGGTAAAAGCCCTACACACGTCAGCGCAGCACTCATTATCCAGTTGTGTGTTATGCATGGGACACACTCACAGCAACGCCTCAGTAAATACTGGGCTCAAGGTACTGCTTTTCAAGGTCTTTACAGGACAGAAAAAAGAAAGAAAAAGAGAGAGAGAAAGGTTGACGTTTTGGTCCCAGATTTTGAGTTTGTTAGAAAATGTACATTCATGTTTGGTGAATCAAAGAATCTTCTGGGAAAAGAATTAAAGTAAACAAAACTTTTTACAGTTGCTTATTAACTATGCTTTTCCCCCTCCATTATGCTGTTTCACACTCATTGCTTCCCTAGAGCAAAGCACTTGGTATGGAACTGGTTCAACAGACTCCTTGTCAGCCCTCAAAAAGATAAGCAGTGTTTCTTAAAAGCCCATGTTTTCTAAGGCCACTAGAAGAAAATCTGCCAAAAGTTTGTAGTTGATGTCTTCGTCGGTTGATGTTAAATAGCACTATTAATCTCGTTTCCATTACGGGTGTACTTGGCATCTTCCACCTCGGGTCTTAACCAGTCAACTATGCTTGTCATGTGTCTACGTGAACGCGGGAGGTCTCGGCTCCGTTAGCGGAACCCAGCGTGGTTTCCAAGGACATTCACAACGACGAGGAGCTCTGAGTGTAATCTCTTATGATAAGTGTGTCATATTTGGGAGACGAGGGGATACAGAGGGCCGACTCCGACACTGGCGAGTTGGGGGTCGTACTCCCCGAGTCCACCGAGTCTCTAAAGGGGGACGGCGGGGTGAGAGCCACCAACTCTTCCAGGTCCGGCTTGCCGGTCGCAGCCTCTGGCCCGGCCGCCGCCGGGGTCTCCCGGGCAGCGCCCCCTGCCGGCGGGGCCGTCGCCGCCGCCAACGCGGGCTGCGCGCCGCCGGTGACCTCGATGGCGGGCAGCGGCTGGATTTCGGCGAACGTCGTCATGGTCGTGGGCAGCTGGATCTCTTTGGGGATCAAGTAGGACGAGCAGAGCGGGGCGCCCACGCCGGCCCCAGGCGCCGAGGTGGACAGCATCATGGAATTGAGCTCGCTGATGTTGGCCGTGAAGCGGGTCACCACGCTGCTGATCTGCTCCATGAGCGAGCCTTGCGAGGAGCTGCTGCGCGCCGCGGGCTCCGAGTGCAGCGACGGCACGTCGTCGTCCGTGCGGCTGGCCGAGCCCGCGCGCTGGCTCAGCGTGCTGATGGGCGATGGCGAGCGCGGGCGCGCAGGCGCCGGATAGTGCTCCTCGGCCTCCGCCACGTCGTACAGCGCCTTGGGGCCGGCGTCCGGGGGCTCCGGCCCGCCGGGGCCGCCGCCCG